ATTTCCTTCCTTCACTTTCCATGCCTTCTTTAGAAATTCATTTTTCTTGGCCACATTGATGAGGCAATTTATTTCTCTCTTTTTAGCTTTTTTCTGCAGGATTGGGGGAAGAGTTTATCTGTTGGACTTTGGGGACATAGAACTGTCTAAATTTCTTTTTTTTTTTTTTTTGAGACAGTGTCTCACTCTGTCACACAGGCTGGGGCACAGTGGCACGATCATGGCTTACTGCAGCCTTAATCTCTCCAGGCTCAAGTGATCCTTCCGAGTAGCTGGGACTACAGGCATACACCACCAAGCCCGGCTATTTTAAAAAACTTTTTGTAGAGGTTGGGGTCTTACCATGTTGCCCAGGCAAACTCCTGGGCTCAAGTGATCTGCCCACCTTGGCGTCCCAAAGTGCTGGGATTACAGGCATGAGCCACCGCGCCAGGCCAGAACTGTCTGAATTCTCATTATCACTTGCTCATCAGAGGAGAGGGGTAGAATAAATAGACTTGCTCTTTGAACCTTTGTCTTCCACAGCACTGTCTTAACACAAACATGCAATTCCAGGAAAAACATCAGAACAGTGCTTTGAATACTGAAAAAGTTATTAAGGAAAGAGATAACATTTTATAGCTGAACCAGCATGTGATTTATGTTGTTTGAAATCCAAAATACCCCCATGATTGGAGTTTTGAGTTTTTGCTTTGGGGTAAGGGAAATGATTCAAGCTTAATTTTTTTTTTAGGAACTCTTTTAAATGCATTTTCTACCTAAGGAGTTTCTATGGGTATTGAAGTATCTTTGTTCTTCTATGGTATTTCATGTTTTATAGCAGCTTGCGATTCTACCTGTGTACATAACTGTTATACATGCTTGAGGCAGTCTAGCTAAAGAAGTTTTGCTATAGTTTGTAGAATTGGATGATAAGGAGACATGTCATTCTATTCAGATACAGAAGAGTTTGGGGCGACAACCATGTTAAGTTATTGTCAAATCATTGAGACTGGCACAAGTTGCTTTATTAAATTATGCCAGCCGTAGCTGTTCATATGCTTCTGGTGATCAAAGAAAATGAATTGACACACCAGTGGTTTATGTGGCTTGTTTTAATTCCTTAGGTGCAGCTATCTTCTTTGAATTCAAACACTACAAGCCCAAAAAACGGTTTACCAGCACCAAGTGTTTTGCTTTCATGGAGATGGATGAAATTAAACCTGGGCCAATTGTAATAGAACTGTAAGTGATGTGCATATAGAATTAGTACTAATTTGATAGTGACTAGTTTATCTTTCCTCTTAATCCCCCATATCCAGTATTTAACCCTGGAATAATTTAGTATTTTAAACAATGGTCTTTCTGTTGTAATTACAGATACAAGAAACCCACTGACTTTAAAAGAAAGAAATTGCAATTATTGACCAAGAAACCACTTTATCTTCATCTACATCAAACTTTGCATAAGGAATGATCCTGACATGAAGAACCTGGAACTTCTGTGAATTTTACCACTCAGTAGAAACCATCATAGCTCTGTGTAGCATGTTCACCCTTCAACAGGCAGGAAGCAAGCCGTACCCAGACCAGTAGGCCAGAGGGAGTCCTTTGCAAACCTGTACCACAGAATCAAAGTCCAGCACATCACTGATGTATAAGACTCCTTCGGATACAGGTCTATTGTAGATTTTGAAACATGTTTTTACTTTTCTATTAATTGTGCAATTAATAGTCTGTTTTCTAATTTACCACTATTCCTACCCTGCTTCCTGGAACAATACTGTTGTGGGATGTGCTCATCTTCAGACTTAATACAGCAATAAGAATGTGCTAGAGTTTACACATCTGTTCACTTTTGCTCCAGTATGCTCTTTTGATTTAACTTCAAGCTTTGGGTTGATGTGGGTAAGATAGTGTCATACTGCTTTGAGAGGAATTGGACCAGTTCTGCTGCCTAGGAAGGTCTGTCTGGATATTTATAGGCTGCTCCTCCGAAGTGGCCTAAATTCACCCTGATCTGATAGTTTTTCCTGCTTAGAAAGTGTGCCTTGGCCAGATCAGTATCCCATAAGGGAGTGTTCCCTAGGTTGTAGCTCTGATTGTTTCCAGATGACCAGATTGTTTTTCCGAAAGTGAGCATATTTTTAGTCATGTTGATTAGCCAGCCGTTCTTCTACATCACATTATTACTCTCTCTGATGATGATTCTAGGGTTAACATTGGAACCCTCTCAAAAGAATTACAAATTTTTAGATGGGTTTACAATATCTTCTAAATAATGTAATCTAAAAATAATTGAGTCAGATGCTAACAAGATACTGCAGGCGTAACTGCTGTTTTTCTGACAACTGATTGTGAAACCTTAAAACCTGCATACCTCTTCTTATAGTGAGGAGTATGCAAAATCTGGAAAGATACTCTATTTTTTTTATATAGGTAGATAGGATCGCCATTTATTTCCTATTCAGATATACTGACATTCATCCATATGAAAATATGCAGGTCATTAGCTTACTATAATTTGACTATTTACTTTTGACTTAATGGGGCATAAAGAAAACTTTCATAGTACACATGAGGTGGATATTTGATACACAGAACATTAAGATTTGTGGGGGGCTTTCTGTGGGTTAGATGTGAAGCCCACATATTTTAATATTCACTATTTTAAATGAGCAATGCATGAGGGGAATGCAGTGTCAGTACCTGGCCTATTTTTAAACTAGTGTAATCACCCTAGTCATACCATTCAGTATGTTTGCTTTTTAAAATAAATAACCACAATTAAGTTGTTTTAGCCCTTGCACTTCAAGAGATCTAGTCTTTACTTTCAGTTGTCTGTTAGGTCCATTCCGTTTACTAGATGGATGTTAATAAAAACTACGTGAGCCTGAAAGAATTCTCAGCCAAATTTCGTCTTGTTTCTCATCTTGGTTGGATTAATTCCAAATCCTAAAATGATTCAGTCCACAATAGCTCTAGGGGATGAAAAATTTGCCTTACTTTGTTCACTCAGTTCTCAAGACTGTGAGTTGTCAAATCCCTAGACTGTAAGCTCTTCAGGGAGCAAGAAGCGCATTTTCTCCATGTCATGTAATTTTTCTAAGGTGCTTGGCAGCACTCTGTACCCTGTGGAGTACTCAGTACCTTTTGTTTGATGTTGCTGACAAGACCTAAAAAACAGTCCCTTAAAAGAAACCCATTAAAATGTAGCAAAAACGATGTATTATTTCTTCTCTTTTCTCATAAACCATAAGATATGTATATCAATGTGATAATTTATATGAAGCATCTGCTATCCTTCACATAAGTATGGTTTATATGAACTACAAATAACTTTCATCAACATTAAAGAAGCTGAAATTTAACACTGTGTGATTGATTAGCTTAACTTTAATTCAGCCCTGAATGTAACAAAAATGAGGGATTGTCTTGAAGTTGACACAGAATATACCACATCCCACAAATTATTTAAATTTACTTTCCAATGAAAAAAAATCAGCCACTGATGATACTATAACTATAGTAGAAATGTTTTTAGGCTGAATATTGCTGCTTCATCAATAAGTCAATTTTAGCAACTAAATCCAGACACAATTAGTTGGCGATGACTTCTGAAAGAGATGAAACTTTAGAGATGGAGAAGTTGACTGAGGGTTGATACTCCCTGTACCATCTGCATATTGGTACCCTGCTTGGGCTTTGCTGTAGAAATGGTGCAATCAGATGGATGTGAGAGGAAGCAATTATGGACCAGTTCACAACTTTTCAAATAAGCTACACTGGAATCTTTACAATTTACCAATTCCTCAATGATATCAGATACAGAAAAATCACCAAAAAAGGCTTTAGAGGGGAAAAATACTCTAATTTTGAATTTTAAAAATGGATTTAATTTACCTTTCCTACTTACCTTCCTAGATGGCATAATCTACATTTAAATGACATTTAAAATTAGCAACTGGCTGGGCCCGATGGCTCATGCCAGTAATCCCAGCACTTTGGGAGGCCGAGGTGGGCAGATCACCTGAGGTTGGCAGTTCGAGACTGGCCTGACCAACATGGAGAAACCCCATCTCTACTAAAAATACACAAAAAATTAGCTGGGCATGGTGGTATATGCCTGTACCCAGTCACTCAGGGGGCTGAGGCAGGGGAATCACTTGAACCTGGGATGCGGAGGTTGAGGTGAGATCGTGCCATTGCACTCCAGCCTGAGCGACAAGAGCAAAACTTTGTCTAAAAAAAAGTATTAATAATAATTAGAAACTATTAACTTCAGCATTGTTTTGTGTTCTAAAGAGATTGACAGGTAAACTCAAAAGCTGTATTTGTGACTTAATCTTATTTTACATGGTTAAAAGTGGCCTACGCCTTCTATGGAGTTTTCCTCTTATTTTTATTCTTGATATTAAATGAGAAGAAATACAGACTGAATTCTCTTTTCCTGAAGAATTCATATATTCCTTACGAACTGTGAAAGAGTTGCCTCTTTCAAAGGTCCTTATCTTCCTAAACTATCTTCAGTCATTTAGTATAAAGAGAAAATTTTGTTTCACGTCAAAGCTTTTGCTCCTTTATATAAGGTATTAATTGATTAAATATCAAAACAGTGACAAGTCATACACTAAGTTTCAAAAATATTACATCATAGGGCTTTAAAGAATGGAAGAATATAGCCTAGCAACTAAGGAAAGTATCAACCTTTTATGATTTTAATCTAAATCTTAAACTCCTTAAAAGGAGTGCTATTATTATTGTAATTAAAATGTGTGAAGAGTTCTTAGAAACATAGTTTTTAAAGAAACATTGTTTTAAAGACGCTGTGTAGTAATGGATAAGACTTTTAAGTATGGTGCAATTCCAGATAGTCAATGATTTTTAAATCAAAGCACCAATGTCTAAATATTAATTTTGGAATCTGTCATCCCCCCCAAAAAAGAATTTCAACCCTTGGTTGCTGACCTAGGGCATGTTGTAAGCCTCAGAGCGCTACATCATTCTTTCTCATGGCGTTATACTTTTCCAATCTTTTTATTATATTCCTTGAAAATCAGTGGCAAGGTATGGGAAAGATAAGAGACCACACATTTTAAAAATTTAAAAAGATTTCAGTACTTTCATGACACGTTTTCACTTTTCTGTTGTGCACCCTTTCTACAGGAATGGTAAAAGCAACAGAACATCAGGTCAAACAACTCTTGCTACTAATGTAAACTCACTCTCCGAAAACCATTCTCAAATAGACAATGAGTGTCATAAAGCAAGCATGTGAATGCTACACAAGTGGGAACCCACTAACTTCTTTGAAATAAAAAGACATCACTTGTAGAGTTCACAGGTGACTGAGGGGAGCAGCCGGAAGTGTGCTGCCAGCCACCATGTTCAGTTCTGGGAGACTGAGTTTACATGTTTTCCAAATGGCACAAGCCTCCTAACAGTCCAATGAATCAACAGACACTTGGGAAATATTAATAAACAACTTTTTATGAACTATTACTACAAAGAACTTCAGCAAGAGGGGAGAGAAAATTTAGTGATCTTTTAGTAAACATTTTTAGCATAACAGTCTTTGGGACCAGATAGTTTAAAAAAAAAAAAAAACAAAAATGCTTATAAACACCATTGCTCTGTATTCAGCTGGTGTACACTAAAAACAGGATGATGGAAATACATGTTCTTAAAGCATTTCCACAGGAAATGTTCATATTTTACATGACATTCTAAATCATTTAGCAATTACAATGCTACATTAGCTAAAACACAAGTATTCTTTATTGCACATTTCAAAGTAGTAAGGATGCTATAGCTTAAAAGGTGATTTTTATTTAGGGAAGAAATGACATTTCTGAATTGTTTGGCTCAAAAATGCATACTGCCAAGGCAGCTTAGTTCTAACAACAGATCTTTTAAAATAAACTTGGATTTTGAAGCCAATGAAATCCTTTACTGTAATGAATAATGCAGTCCATTTTTTCTCCAATGAAACATCAGAGGTCATAGTTACGGGCTCTGCTTTAAAGCCGGTGAACAGTCCTGACTAGTGCTCTGAGAGGCAGGAGGAGGCTCCTCTCTAGAGCCTGGCTGCAGTAAGTCTCTTGCGGCAGGTGGTGGTGGGTAATCCTGGGGAACATGGGTTGGGGGTGGTAATCGAGTACCGGGAATAAAGTACTCTCTTGGGCCAAGAGGACCTAAAGGTCTAAATGGTGCGTGTCCTGGTAAAAATTCCCGAGGGTGGAGTGGCAGGTCCCGTTTTCCTGGTGCAAATTCTCTTAAGCCTAGTGGTGGACGCATACCAGGGCCTGGAAAACAAAAATTATGTCGAGTAAATTCCTAGGAACATAGCTAAATTAAGACAATGCCAGGTATGTTAATATAGTCTGTCATCCTTTTTTTTTTGGAGGCAGGGTCTTGACTGTCAGCCAGGCTGGAGTGGAGTGAAGTCATCATGGCTCACTGCAGCCTCAATGTCCTGGGCTCAATCGGTCCTCCCTCCTCAGACTCTGAGTAGCTGGGATGACAGGTGCAAACCACCATACCCAGCTAATCTTTGTATTTTTTGAAAAGACAGGGTTTCACCATGTTGCCCAGGCTAGTCTCAAACTCCTAGGCTCAAGGGATCCACCTGCCTCAGCCTCTCAAAGTGCTGGAATTAAGGTGTGAGCCACTGTGCCTGGCCTGTCATCTTTATCTTGAGACAGATTTGTACTTGGAAGTACTATATACCATAACAGGAAGATAGACTAAATATGGCCTCATTGCAACAAACATTTTGATAAATTCCATTGTTTACTACTGTATATTAAAAATTTACGTAGTAGCTCAACATGTGCGTAATACATGCCATAAAAATGAAGGTGCTTGCCCTGCTGGAAAAGGTCTTTCAGCTTCATCTAATTAAATCAGCAGCATTCATTAGATAGCAGTTAGATTCTACCTTCTCTTTCATATCTCCCTCCTTTGTATTCCCCAAGGTGAGGGTTGACGGTTTTATCTTTCCCTCTCTAATATTCTGTGACCCACTGCTTATGCTTCTGTTATGGGTGATTAGAAGCTTTATGTTGTAGATTGTGTATACTGTGCCCTACAGGACATCTTAATTAGGGGATGTGTTTTATCTACCTTGCTATCCATTGCAGAACCTAGTACACAGCCAGAGATGTTCAAAAAACATGTGCTGAATATTTCTGGCTTTCTAGAAATAGCTCCTTTCCTTCTTCTATTAGAGACGATTATTGCCCATCTAATCACAGGACATTATGCAGCACCCTTTGTGTTTTAAGAAACTTGGGAAGAAGTTACAAGGTACTCAGTCAGCTTCCTCGCTGCATGGCAAAGCCCTGCAATTGCAGTTGTTTTAGCAAGGGACAGAGAGAGAAGATGACTACGCTTTACAAGTTAATCACCGGTGTTCAGATCATCTTACCAAAGGGCGGAGGAATTGGCCGAGGCCCGAAAGGTCCACAGAGCTGAGGTGGTGGTCCATATGGAATGGGTGGTGGTACAGGGCCTCCCATGGGGGTGCTCATCAGAGCGACTCCTGGGAAAGGAGGGGGCCCTCTTGGAGTCGTATGACCCTGCAGAGTAGAAGCAATTGAAGTTTTGAAATACTCTGGTATGACAGACAAAAGTACCAACACCAGTCAAAACTAAAACCCAATGAAGCAGATGTCAGGCACTTGTCCAAAGAGTAGAATTAGTGCAACAACTACCGCTCTCATTTGTTCCCACTGACAGCTTAGAAAGGTTAAAAGTATGTCACAGGAGTGAACACTTCTGCTATAATTGTATTATTGCTTATATCTGCAAATGGAAGGGAAAGCAGAGGTTATAAAGGGAAGTCGTTCCTGACTAATACTATTTCTAAGGCAGTCACTCCCTCTGCACATCCCTCCCATCAGAATAATTTCCATATTTAGAATGCAGAGAATGAAAGGGAATGAAAAATCCATTCTCTACCATGTAATAGCAATTATTCAGAGTACCTTCAACAGGCCTTACATATGTTAACTCGAATTCTCCTATCTCTAAATCTCTAATAGGACCATCTTGTTCTAAATATGCAGGAACACAGGCACAGAGAGTATTAGATAATTTGCTGACAGTCACACAGCATGTAAGAAGCTGGGCTGGAATTCAATGCCAGGTTTGACTCCAAGGCCATGTTCTTTCCACCTCTACTTCTACTCTCTAACAAAGTAGTCTCTACTCTCTTTGAAGTCTTCTACTTCAAAGGGGTCTTGGGTCTTATCCAAGTTGCCCTTGGATAAAAAGATTTCTCAAGAGATGTGTATTCCTCGAGTCATGTGCTGGAACTCCAAAGTATGTTCCAAGAGAAACAATGTTATATACACAAATTACACAGGCACACTCTATTTACCTTCATTCACTAGTAATACTGTCTACTATGAGACACTGACTAATCATTTCCTATGGGAAAGTGGTTTGGAAACTCTCAATCATTAAAATAAATGTACTTTGATTTCAATAGAGAGAAGCATGGTGAGGTATGATCAGAGGACTTACCAACCTTAACAGCTACACAAGTTACAAGAGAATACACTTATGTGAACACTATTTAAGGACACTGCTGAGAACTGGCTCAATGAGTAATTATAGACTTCCACTATTCAGTACTTCACTTCCAACAAACATTCTTCTGTTAAATCAATCTGTAATTTCAGATCATTCAAAATAGGTTTTGCCTAGTATATGATTGGAGATAATCTTAAACAGCACATTTCCAAATGAAGGCATAATAATGAATTACACAATTTACAATGAATTTACTTTGCATAAGAGCATTAAACACTGAAATACAGAAGAGTGGGGACTTTTCACTTTTGTTTAAGTTAATTACAGTTACAGCAAATGCTCTACACAGGTTAAATGTCTAACCAAACAGGAGAGAGGAGAAAAGGCCAACAAATCAGTCAGATTTCAGCAGCACTCCCAAGTCAAGGACAAAAGTAAGATCAATATCGCCAGGCAATTTATAGCCCAGTTCAGTCCACACTTCTAAGTACTTACTGCTACTGGATGCTCAGCTGAAGATGTAATGCTGGGAACTGAGGGGACTTCAGGCTCTTGGAGAACAGTTTGCTTTTTTAGAAAAATAAATGAGACAGTACAGATAGAACACACAAATAGGAGATGAAGCAAAGAGAGAGTTGTAGGAAAAGCTAAATGTTCTTGAAATAACTATTCAAAATGGGTACATTTACCTTGCCTTCATCCATCGCCCTGGAAGGGGAAGAGCCTCTTGAGCCGTTGTTCATCATGGCAGCTGGACCAGATCCTGCATCTGTTAAAGGCCAGATAACTGACATAGGCTTATTCTGACTTGTGTACTCTATGAGGAGGCTAAAACAAAAATCCTCTCCCCGCTTCCTGCATGGCTTTAGACTCTTTAAACACTCTTGCTCCCTTACCAGAAGGAGAGGGTTTCCCAGATTCCTCAGCTGACCATTGAGGATGAGACAGAGGCCCGTCCACAGATCCTTGGGAAAGAAAGAACAGAGCCCGTGTATGTATTTTGCAGAAGAAATAACAAATTGTAGACGGGTTAGGGTTCAAGTCTATCTGGAAAGCAACATTAAAAACGGGTCTCCTGATACTCATGAAGGCAAATCATTCATAATTTATTCACAGACTTAGAGAATTAAAATGAGAAATGCCGGGCCGGGCACGGTGGCTCATGCCTGTAATCCCAGCACTTTGGGAGGCCGAGGCGGGTGGATCACGAGGTCAAGAGATCGAGACCATCCTGGTCAACATGGTGAAACCCCGACTCTACTAACAGTACAAAAAATCAGCTGGGCATGACGGCACGTGCCTGTAATCCCGGCTACTCAGGAGACTGAGGCCGGAGAATTGCCTGATCCCAGAAGGCAGAGGTTGTGGTGAGCTGAGATTGCACCATTGCACTCCAGCCTGGGTAACAAGAGTGAAAGTCCATCTCAAACAAACAAACAAAAAGAAGTGCCTTGCACTGAAAGAACAATAATCTCTGCACATTAATGGCTCTGGTCTATACTTCCAGCTACAGACTTCTATATACAGTATTCTACATTGTGATTTTTGTTCAGTGTACTTGTAATCTGACTTCCATATCTTACTATTATAGACATATTTAGGATTCAAAATAGACTCAACAGCATTTCATACTATAGTAATGAGAAGTGGAAACATGTATGCCTCATAAACTATAAAGTTACTAAGGCAAATACAGTTGATTCTTGAATAATGCAGGGGTCAGGTATGCTGATCCCCTGTGCAGTCAAAAACTCACGAGTAACTTTTGACTCCCCAAAGCCTACCTACTAATAAATAGCCTACTATTGACCAGAAGCCTTACCAATAACATAAACAGTTGATTAACACATATTCTATATATATATATATTGTATACTGTATTCTTACCTTAATAGAGTAAGCTAAAGAAAATGTTACTGAAATCCTAAGAGGAAATGTATGTACAATACTGTATGGTATTTGTCTATACTGTAAGTGTACAGGATCTGTTTACAAGATGAATCATCTGACAGAAATGACAGATAACTGCTGCTGCACACTCCAATCTATGGTATATATCAAAGCAATTCAACTTTTCTAGTAATATCATGACTTTGCTTCTTGAGAATACTTCCAGCATCACTAGTGGCATTTTATATGGATTACATGGTGTTATTCAAGGTTTATGTTCTTGCACTAAACATAAAAAATACACAAGAACTGTGAGAGATTATGTTTACATGGAGATTAACCTCACACGGTGTTTAAAGCGGATACTCGCCACACTTGAGCTCACTGCCATAGCAACAGGAGGTGGCTATGAAATTATTGTAGTAGTACAGTGTGTACTACAGCCAACTTTTATGCATTTATGATTTAATACTGTGTCTTTACATGTGTTTACTTTCTCCCAATTGTGAATGGTGTCATGTATATCTGTGTTTGTGTGTGCAAGTTTTGATAAACTTTTTAAAATAGATTTTTGTATATTTTACAATAGTATATGATAAAATAGACTAGTATCTACATATATTTTATGCATTCATGACATACATAAATTTTTAAAAATATTTCTAGGCTGTGTGGTTCATCTGCAAGTTCTTTCAAATTATTGCAAAGTTCCAAAAAATTTCCCAAGGTATTTTTTGAAAAAACTCTGCATATAAACGGACCTGCACAAATCAAACCTGTGTTGTTCAAGGGTCAGCTGTATTTGGAAGAGGAATCCCACAGAACTTTAATTTAAAGATAAAGGCTTACAATTCATAGTAAAAAAATTAAAAAGAAACAATAAAAGGACCTCAAGGGAAATAATAAATGCTTTCTGTTCTAAAACAAACCTTGCAGTTGAATACTTATCCACCAAGACAAATTAAGAAATTTTCTTTTCTGTTGGGCGCGGTGACTCAAACCTGTAATCCCAGCACTTTGGGAGGCCGAGGTGGGTGGATCACGAGGTCAAGAGATCGAGACCATTCTGGTCAACATGGTGAAACCCCGTCTCTACTAAAAATACAAAAAATTAGCTGGGCATGGAGGCGCGTGCCTGTAATCCCAGCTACTCAGGAGGCTGAGGCAGGAGAATTGCCTGAACCCAGGAGGCGGAGGTTGTGGTGAGCTGAGATCGCGCCATTGCACTCCAGCCTGGGTAACAAGAGCGAAATTCTGTCTCAAAAAAAAAAAAAAAAAGAAATTTTCTTTTCTATACTGGACAGACCCAAATTCTAAAGTGTTGTTTGCATTAGAATCCTCAAATAAAAGGGAAAAAGCCACCTGAAACAGTATTGCAAGGAAACATGTGAATGCTCACCAAATTCACTTCTAGGCATATCTCTTCGACTGAGAGTAGCAGAGAGCGGTCTCACAGGTGGCTCCACTGTCAGTGGAGGGGAGCATTCTCCACCACTCACAGGGGATGGGCCAAAAGAGCCATTCTGGCTCAGAGGACCTAAAGATGACAGCATCTTGTTACCATTTTAAGATAGCCTTTTTTTCCCTAAGTTCTTAGGATTATTCCTAGGGTATCATAACCATTACACACAGAAACAAAAGTCATTTATATACATTTAACACCAAAAATCGATTGTTGCCCTTTACAAGGTGCTCCTTACCTCTCCGGGGAGGGTTCTGTGTATTTGGTCTGCCCGGCATTGGTTTTACAATCACAGGTTCTTCTTGCAGCATTGCCATCTTTTGCGTTAATTCTAATAATCTTGAATATAGAGAAAGAGTATTTAAGAAAGACTTAAATATGAAACAGAAACCAATTCCTTAAGAGGTAACACTGAAAACACAGGTAACAAAATCACGTACTTGTGTCGCAGGTTGGCAGCTTCCCTTTTCTCTTCAGCTATAGCTCTTTCTGCAGCACGAGCTTTGAGCTATTGAATAAATACATTCAAATTAAGTTCTAGGAGACTATGTACCAAATAAAGGAAAGAAGAAAGAAATCTTACCCAGTTTTCATGAGCTTTCTTCTCATGGGTAGCTATCTGAAAAAGATAATACATCACAAAATATGCTTACAGATTCATCATAATAGCCTGTATTAATTATCAAAGAATTCTGGGCACTAAATAGGAGAATAGAATCATTACCTGGTTTTTAAATAACCGCTCTGTTTTCTGTAATTCATCTTCCATTTCTTCAATTCTCCGCCTAAGAATTACAGTTGGCTTTATGAGTTACAGCACAACCAAATAAAAACCCAAATATGACCATGTTAACACTTACCCTAACAATTGTACCCTAATAGAGCTACTTTTAACTGTTCCTAAATATGCTTCTCAAATAATCCTGTTATCTTCCATTATAAACCTTTCTTTCCTTTTTTCATCCTTTAATTATTCATTGAAAAATTTCCCCAAGTTAGGACTACTGGGTCTATCAAATGGCAAAATCAGTTTAATGGCTTTTGATACATCATACAACAAACTGCACCCCTCCCCGCCCCTACCCCCAGAACTGTTTGCAGGAACCAAGTTCCCTTACAGTTTTGCCAGCACTGGGTATATGTTAATATTTTTCCATTTGTTAACTTAAAATTTAGTTTTTCTTTTGTGTGAATTTATGTATTCATGTCCTCTAACCATTTATTTATGCTTTTGTGCTAAAAAAAAAAAACCTAGTTTCATTAGCCAGTGACACCATCTTTAGAGGGTGAACTTACTTGTAAGTTTTTACTTCCTCTGCAGCCGAAACTGCCTTTTCATCGGCAGCTGACAGCCTCTGCTCTCTTTCTTGCCGCTCATACTCTTCTTGACTTAATTTCCTAAGATAAAACTGGTTGTCAGTGAAAGTATTTCTCTTTTCCTCCTGGCGTTCTGTCTGAATGCTCTATTAAAATGTCACTTCCTATCCTATTCTTAAAAATGCACAGACTATACAAAGTCATAGGAAGGAATTCAAACAGTCCTTTAGGATAAAAATCCAACTGTGGCCTGTTGATACATCACCTGCATTTTCTAATGTCTCGTAATTCTTTCCTCACTAGTAAGTAAATGTAATTAAAAAAACCACTATGTGTCCAATGGGAAAGACTGTTGTGTTGAAATGATAAATGCTCACTTTTCTTCAATGTAGAAAGCCAGGGCTGATCAACCTAACACAGTTAAGCTTATTAGGATAAAACAGGGGATAATTACTTCTCTTATATTTAACCATGGAAAAACCACTAATTAATTTTCTTATGGGCTGTTTCTCAATCCAAGACTGGTACCATGATAAAGACAGCCAATGAAAGGGCTTTTTAGAACATGCCTTCTAACTGTACAGTTAACCACAGAACATTTTCACACTTCAGATGTGGAGCTCCCCTACCTATTTCAAAGGAATCATGATTAAGCAGAGAGACAAATCTGAGTATTGCCAATGTCTGTTGAACAGAAAAAGAATTCAAACTCCCGTAATCAGGGTGCTATGTACTGAAAATTGGTTTTAACCTGATAATTTTCAAGCTCAAGATGTCAACATACTGTAACACAGACTGTAAAGGCAGCAACATTTATTGGTTTAAAAGTGCTACTTGCAGTTACCCTTGTACTTCTTCACTCATAGTTCCGATACTAAAGATACTTGAAAGTTTTCTATAAATTGAAAGCAAAAATAGAGGAGCTATACTAAAAAAGGTTATTAACACCAAAGAGAAAAAAGTGTATGTATTCTTTTATAACTGCTCATTTAGTATTTCAGCAAATATTTTGTGAGTGGTATAACATACTAGTTACCTTATAAGAGGCTAAGATAAAGGTTTGGGTATGGTAAGTACCACCTCTGCACTAAAAGAGCTCACAGCTGAATGTATAAAAGGTGCATATAAGAATAGAACAATCTCTCGCTGACTCTGGCTTAGGAGGAGATGTTGAAAAAACAAGTCTTAAAGAAAGATTCAAGAGAATTTTGCTTCCAATAATGGATGAGTTAGTCTGCAAACACTGAAAATAAGAACAGATGGACAAAAATATAAAGAATGTGCTTGAAGGCATCAGAAAGCTAATAAGGCAGTGAAGAAAATCCAGTAGGAAAAACCACAGCATTGTAAGGAAGTCTGGCATTTTAAGCCATTGTCCCCCAGGTTCATCCACGCATTAAAGACAAGCCAGACATATACGAAGGTTGAGATGAACTTTCAACAGATCCCTGGGTTCAGAGAAACAAGAGGTAGAGTTCAGGGCTGACAATGAGAAGGCCCCAGAGAAAAAGCCCTAGGCTTTGGGTTGAGACCAGAAAAGAGCTGCACACTTGGAGTACTGAACAGGCAATATGATGTCCTTTAAACAGACTAAGCCGTGTTTCAATGAACTTAATAGCTAACTGGAATAAAGTGATGACCACCTGCTAGAGGTAATCTCAAATCTTTTCTGTAGGATGATAACATCATCCGAGACCTCAAATTTCCCCTACAATTTTCATAACCAATGTTCACCACTCCATCAAAACCAACCAGGCATTCCATAAGACAAGACAATGTGATTGCAATCTAAAAGACAAGAGAAACAGACTCATAAGGGATCCACATGATAGGATTAACACATAGATTTTAAAACAATTGTGCCTTCTATATTGAAGGAAGTAAAAGTCAGGATTATGAATTTCAGCAGAGGATCAGAAACCATAAAAGTAAAAAATAGTAAGTAAATCCAAAAAGAACTCAATGAATGATTTCAGCAGATTAGATAACTGAGGTGAGATTTTAGCACACTGGAAGATAGGTCAGAAGAAAACATCCAGAATGAAGCAAATTCAGGATGTAGGAGCACTGGGCAAGGGGTAGGGATGAGGGATCCTACTATGTTTAATTGGATTCTCAGGACAAGAGAGAATGAAATGGAATTAATACATGAAAAAAGAGGCCTCAAATTCAAGAAATGTTTATAACCTCAAGCAGCATAAATGCAAAAGAAAAAGCAGGAGGGTAGGGTTGTAGGGGTGACGACAAAACCCTACATGAGGCATCTCCCAATAGCTGAAAAACCAAAAAGAAAAATGACTAAAGGCAGCTAGGGAGGGCATGATGTATTTGAAAAAGAGAAAATAAGAATGATAATAGATTCATCAAAGAAACTTTAAAACCAGAAGATAATTGGTTATCTTTAAAGTGCTGGTATTAAACAACTATCAAAATTCCATAACCAGTAGAAATATCCTTTTAAGGGTGGGAGTGGTGGCTCACACCTGTAATGCCAGCACTTTGGGAGCCTGAGGCAGGTGGATCACCTGAGGTCAGGAGTTCAAGACCAGTCTGACGAACATGGAGAAACCCCATCTCAACTAAAAAAACAAAAAACAAAAAACAAAAAACGAAATTAGCTGGGCGTGGTGGTGCATGCCTGTAATCCCAGGGAGGCTGAGGCAGGAGAATCACTTGAATCTGGGAGGTGGAGGTTGCAATGAGCAGAAATCGCATCATTGCACTCCAGCCTGTGCAACAAGAGCGAAACTCTGTCTCAAAAAAAAAAAAAAAAAGATCCTTTTAAAATAGAGTCAAAATAAAGACATTTTCTTACAAAAATAAACTCACTGAACCTGATTTAAGGTATATTCTTCATATAGAATGACCGTGATTGCAAATGGAAGACTGAAGACGTAGGAGAATAAAGTATGATAGTAACTATAAATAGGTATGTGAATTGAGTATCAGCAGGATAGCACTGTAAAACATAAAACATTTTGTGGAGTTTGAGCTATATAGAGCATTACAATACATTACCACAATAACATTTAAGTCAGGAGGAAGTTAAAGCCCAGAAAGAGGTCACTCCTCGGCCTGGTGCCTGGTGTGGTGGTTCACGCTTGTAGTCCCAGCACTTTCGGGAGCTGAGGTGGGCGAAGGTCAAGATTGCGACCATCGTGGCCAACATGGTGAAACCCCATCTCTGGAACAAAATACATCTCTACTAAAAATACAAAAATTAGCCAGGCATGGTGGCGGGCACCTGTAGTCCCAGCTACTGGAGGCAGGAGAATCACTTGAACCCAGGAGGCAGGAGAATCGCTTGAACCCAGGAGGCAGAAGTTGCAGTAAGCCAAGATCGCGCCACTGCATTCCAGCCTGCCAACAGAGAGAGACTCTGTCTCAAAAAAAAAAAAAAAGGAAACGTAACTCCTCTATGAAGAAAGAGGTAACTCCCTTATGTCCGACTTTAATATGCCCAGGATACATACTGTGGCCTTTAAGGTAATTAGAAGACAAGTAGAACAACTTGTAACCACCAAGCTTAAATAGAGAAGAGCAGAAGAATTTAAAATACTCTAACAATTCAAAAAAAGGAAAAAGGAACACAGAAAAGGCCATCAAATAAAGAGCAGATACCAATATGTAGATTTAAACTCAAATATATTTTAGGAATTGCATTTAAGAAGCAAATGAGTGCTCAGTCTGTGTAGCTACCTATTTATTTATGCTACTCACTCCAGAAAAGATTTTTAGGAGTGTGAACATGTGAGTAGGTAGGTGACTGCCAGGCAGAAACAATAAAGGACATTTTTACTGCAGAAAAAACAGCATACATAAAGACAAAGAAGTTTAGAGTGGCATGGAAGAACTGTTGAGTGTCTATAGTTCAAGAAGCATCAGAAGAAACCACAGGAAGTGCACCTGGAGAGGCAGCTCAGGGCTAGCTGAGGGGAAAGTGGCCTCTGTACCTGTTAAGGAGTATGGAATTGACCCTCAAGGGAATGGAGCATACTTGATAGATTTTAAGCACATAATGACACGGACAGACTTGTATTTTAGGAAGTTCACTCTAGCAGCTTTAGAGACCATCAGAATTTGGAAGCAGATGTATAAGAAAGACTGAAGATAAACAGGTGATTAGCTAGGGAACTGGCATAAAAGATGACAAGGGCCTGAACACACACAGTGACTTTAGGGGTGGACAGCAGAGTACAAACCACACATGGAGACTGAATGAATGTTGTGGCACATAAATGGATTAACTGGATCATGAAGAAAAACAGTTGCCATTTAAGTAATTCACATTACTACTGGAGGCAGATTCGTACTCTTTTTTAAAAAGTAATGAAATGAGGAATGTCTCTCTGAAGCAAGACAGGCATTTAGACCTGGTCTGAGCAAAATCTGGAAAATCTAAACTAGCTGCTTGGTGAGCAAAGAATTAGAGAAAAAGTTAATGGTATAGTTTTAATGTTTAATGGCATACGGCAGTAGCAGCCTAAGCATTTTAGAAGGTTAAATTTGCTTAGCAAACGAGGTCTTCTCACATACTGCCATATACACCATAGAGTAAAATATAAGAGCAAACACAAATAGTAACTGCCACAGACAATCTATTTTTAGGGAATTCAGATGTTTTTGTGGAGAAAAAACTTGAAATGAATTATAAAAATATAGTTTTCAAAAGATACCTAGCTCAAAATTTGAGATGTGTATTTCAGAAGATTAGTATCTAAATATGTACACCAAATAGTTCTATATTCAAAACTCCTCATCTTTGCCACAATTATGTTTAGTCTGAATATTTGACTCTGTGAAGTGCAAAACTAAATGTACCTTTAATAAGTAAAATTTCCTTTTTCGAAGTTTTTATTCTACTAAAACACATGTCATACAAATCACTCAGACTTTTTAAAGGAAATTACATAATTGACCACAAAGAAAGGAAAGTGAAATAAGTGGTGGAGCCACAGAAAAGGCATGGGCAGATCTTCAAAAGAGAAGCACTTCCACAGCAGTAACTGTCAGGACCAGTCAACTGCTCCCCCTTACATGAGTTACAGGCAACAGTTTCTGACAACTGCTTAGAAAGCCAAGAAAAATGCAGGTTATGAGAAACAAAGCAGATAGGAAGAAAGACCAATTTGTACTAATGTGAGACGGAAAAAAGTATAAATAATCCTAAAAAAGATAACATTGTCTGTATTAGTACCTTTATTTAGTCACATGACAGTGAACAGTAAACGATGAAAATCTTACTTTTGCAAAGCCATCTCCTTCTGCTGATACAATTCATTCAGAATCTCCACCTTCTGCCTCAGGGTTCTGCACTCATCTTCCAGTCCATCTTTGGCAGATTGCAGTGAGTTGCGGTCATCTTCCAATTTCTTTATCTGGTCTGTAAAGCGTAAAACATTTGAGCTCTATGTGTGTGCACAAGAACTTGAGAACTTGGTTAGGGGTTTGGGGCTGAGAGGAATGAGAAGTTTGAAAGCAGGAAACCACTCTTTATCTATCTAATGCAATTTTGCATCTTTCCAATACATAGCAATTTCTTCTCAAGAAGCAACCTACCTTCCAGGTTACATTTAGTGGACATCGAGGCTCTTAGCTTAAGTTGCAAATGTTTTAGATCCTCTTCAACTACCGATATTGCAGTCTGTGTCTAAAAATTACAGAAGAGAGAAGTATTCATATAAGTGAGACATAGTAAAAGCATTCACAGGCACTTATGGGACTCTAAAAAAGGATTATACCCGAGAGACATCCATCAACTGCTTAATCTGATTTTTCATCTTCTCATTCCGGTCACCTAAAAAACAAAAGACTTTCATTGCTTTTTCTTCCCTTGCGTTTTAAATCTGTATTTTCTTGATTTATGCAAAACTAAACAATTATCAAATTCAAACATTTAAAGAACAAACAAAAATGGAACAGAATTAGACTGACTTTTAAGAGAACTGCAAATCTAGATTCAAAAAGTGAATTCCCATTTGCACAATAAACATGCTATACATGCCATTCTTGAGCAAGAAGAAACGTGAGATAAAGCTCTGTCTTCTATCTCAGATCTGTCTCCACCTGGGCTTAGTAAGTGTCTCATTTAGAAATATTCCCTCCTATTCTCCTCCAGAATCTGCTGTCAGGTGTGGTTTAAAACACTACGTAAGCAATATCCAACTAGAGAGACAACATCTAGAAACACTTACCTCATCAGTAAACACTGCTACCCTATAGCTTCCACTCTCATGACCTTAGTTTCTGGATCCAACCACTTCAGTACTCTTAAAACCAGTTGTGGTTTTCTCTCACGGCCTTAGTTTATACCTCCAATCACCTTAGTACTCTTAAAACCAGTGGTGGGCCTTAAAACCAAACAGCTCCTGAGATGACTAGTCTTAAAATGTTATCTCCATGAAATTGAGAAATATAGTTTCTACTACTGTATATGTTCAATACGTAGAGGTGTAAGGACATGACCAGTGCAGCTCCCGTGCACCCTTCTAGTCTCAATGAGATGTAAAAACCAAGTCAGTGTTCCTTGCATGCTCACTGCTATACCATACCCTAGCAATCCACCTCTGCCCAATGCAAATAGACATATACACAAATCCAGTGATACATGTTAACAACTCTAAAGCTTAAGAGGAAATGCAGCCAGCTGAAAAGTAGCATTAGTGTACTTAAAGATAGGAAGGGAAAAGGGGTCCATCCTCCTTGAGACTGATCTTACCTGCCACTTCTCCATTTGCTAATTCATCTGAATCATTTCCTCCTTTATTTTGACCCTCAGATTCAGATTCACACTCTAATCGATTCAACTGTGTAATGCAATTAGTCAAAGCCTAGAAAAGAAGTAAAAGGCATTAAGAGTCTTTCCATTTTAGTTCAACAGATTTCATGATAATTCACAAGAATTAAGCTTGTACTCGTGAGAATGTACTTACATTAATATTATCATCCTTGTGAGTAAGAGCTACTTCCAAATCTTTCTGAGACTTCTCAAATGATTTGATTTGCTCACTGAGCTCGGCATGTAATTTACTCCAGTCTTCAATTTCCAGCTGCAACTGAAAGGTTAAAACACATAATTCCCACAGGTTAGGCTTTTGCACTGGGGACAAGACCAAGTGAATGAGACAGGGAGGTAAGGAGCCATGCCTCTCCTTAGTCTATCACTATGGGCTAAGACCTTGGTTTAGTGGGAGGAGAGAGTGACCCCAATCCTCAGAGCTGTAGTGAGAACATCAGAGCTGACAAGGAAATTGATCTCGTTTATTGCATCCTTCAGAAAATTATAGCCAATTCAAATAATTCACTTCCAGAAGGAACTGAAGGGCTCACCCTACTATCTCTCAAGTCTAGACTCCTAATCATGTAACTTTCCCTTGGCTAGTGAAGCAGTAACTACTAAAAGGAGGGTGATAAAACATCTAATTCTTAGATCTAAAAAGTCAATCTATTACCCACTTAAGGCTACTCAAGTTAATAGTAATTGGTGTTTGACAAAACAAGACTAAAACACTCTGATGGGCAAAATAAATTGTACAGAACAGAAAATCCAGAACAGATAGAAAATGTATACCTATATTCAATTTTGGAAAGTATAAACTTTGCATATCTAAGAACAGAATCCTGCATGTACATTACCTTAAAACAGATCTGAAAAAAGGCATTCATGTGATATGATACTGGGTTCTCTATTTTACATGACCCAGGACATGTACTTTCCTTTACCTGCTCTTTTTTCTTCTTAAGCCTAGCATTTTCTTCTTGAACCCGATGGCATTCAGACTTGACTTTCTCTTCACTAAGCTTAGCTTCATTAAGTGCAATTTGAACCTAATGCAAAACACTCCTATTAGTGAATAAATTCCAAAGAAAACCAAAAAAAAGTTACTTTCCCAACCCAACAGCACGTAGTTTTCATTTTTTGCACATTTTAGCATGTCAAATTTTTGCTCCTCAACAAAACTATGATATAGGTTTAATATCCTGCAGGAATTATAGTCAGCTTTACCTCTGAAAATTCTGAAGCATTCATGGAAATAACATCTTTTAACTTCTCTATAGATTTCTTGTTTTCTGATATCTTCCATGTAAAAACAGAACACAAAATGCATATTAGGATTTCAGTAGAAACACCGGGATATACACTAAAAAGAGGAAACATCAACGAAGTAAATCCCAGAGCCATCCTGTGTTTCAGGCAAAAGCAGGTTTTTCAGTTTTGTCCTAGGGAAAAATCAAGAACTTAAAGAGGTAAAGGAAAATAATCAAAGGCATAAATATTTCATGGCATACACAACCTTCCTTAGTTAGAATAAAATGTGGCAGATGGCGAGACTAAAAGATGAAAGAAAAGAAACTGAAAAAACTTTCAAGTTAACCACTTCAAATCAATGTGTGTTTTTTTTTCCTTGAGGCAAGAGAGAAAAAAAATCCCCAAGGTACTTTAAAAATTCTCTTGCCTAAATTAAAATGGTAGAATTAGAGTGAGAAAAGGCAGATCATGCATATACAAGAATTCCAAATAATTTATGAAGATCCTGGCTCCTCAAGGGGATGGAGCATAATCCTTCACTTTTAACTCTGGGCTGTGTTGCTAACTTCCTTCCAAAGAGTAATAATGCAAAAGGTTAAAAAAAGAAAAAGGAATTTTACAGTGAAGAAACCTGGCAATACTAAGCTCAGTCAGGTCATCAAGATTAATAGAATGTGGGATTTATGGGAACCCTCTTTACTATCTTTGCAATATTTATGTCCTTCTGAAACTATTCTATTAATAAAGTAAAATGCTTATAGTGAAAAAAAAAACTTTGCAAAACAAAACAAAACAAAACACAAGGACTGTTCAACTAGGTTGTGGTTTCTTAGTTGCTCCACATGTTTTGGAGGTCAGAGCCAAGCAATACAACAATTACCTGGGTTGAGAACCAAATAGTTTCCTAGGCCCATAGAGTAACTTCTTGTGTAAGTACTTAAAATCCCCACAAAAAAACGGACAGAAGTAGGTTCAACTTCTCTGACTCGCACTCTTACTTTACAGAACACTATGGAAAATAAAAGTTCAACTCCATCTACAGAGTTCAAAAACCAAATTATTGGGCCGGGGCGCGGTGGCTCAGCACTGTAATCCCAGCACTTTGGGAGCCGAGGCGGGTGGATCACAAGGTCAAGAGATCGAGACCATCCTGGTCAACATGGTGAAACCCCGTCTCTACTAAAAATACAAAATTATCTGGGCATGGTGGCGCATGTCTGTAATCCCAGCTACTCAGGAGGCTGAGGCAGGAGAATTGCCTGAACCCAGGAGGCGGAGGTTGCTGTGAGCTGAGATCGCGCCATTGCACTTCAGCCTGGGTAACAAAAGCGAAACTCCGTCTCAAAAAAAAAAAAAAAAAACAAATTATTAGTAACACTTAGCAGCAAAACTCTTACCAAATCCTGATTCTTGACATTCTGTTCTCTCTCAGATTCTACATAACACGAAGATTTTTAGCTGTGTCACCCAGAATTTCTATTATTTTTTTCAAGTGTCTTGATTTTATCCTACAAAAAAATATTAACATTAGTTATATTCATTAATTGTTACTTTTGTTTTAAAATGTAATCCCCAAAAGAAGTTTTTTACCTTAAATTTAATTGCTTCATCAGAGAGATCATATTTTGTTTCCTGGTTTCTTGAACATGTTTCTTTGATTCCTTGATCTACAAAAAAAAAAGCATTCAGAATCCAGAAATACAAAGTATTGTGCTATTGGAACTTACTTTGAAGTGACTGACCTCTTATAGAAGAAAACAGTACTTTACACACATGATTGCTTAAGCTCCGGATGGTTTATAGGAATTAATGGAATAATAAATATTATTTTAAAATACCATAGTAACTGAACTATAAGACAGGTGAAAATCATTCAAGCTGAGACCATGGGAAAAAAAAAAACAAAAGAATAATTATACCTTCTGTTCATAATTTGACAATTTCTGTACAAGGTTCTGTATTTTCTTTCATAATAATCTTCAACTTCTCAGAAATCTGCTGTTCGGTGACTGAAAAAGAAAATACGTAAGGTTATTATGATCACTAAATGAAACTGAATTATCCAATGTATCAGCAGAAAGACATGTTATCTGGCACTATGAGGAAAAAGAACTTCTTAGCATAGCTATTATGGTTTTGAAATGTGATACAGTTTGGATTGTGTACCCCCACCAAACTCAAGTCAAATTATAGTCCCCAGTGTTGGAGGTGGGGCCTGTGGGAGGTGATTGGATCATAGGGGTGATTTCTCATGAGTGTATATCACCACCCTTGTGGTGCTGTTCTTGTGACAGTGACTGAGTTCTTGTGGAGTCTGGTTGTTTAAAAGTGTGCAGCAACTCCCCGCTCACTCTCTCTTGCTCCTGCTCCTGCCATGTAAGACGGCCTGCTCTTGCTTGCCTCCTGCTATGGGTAAAAGCTCCCTGAGGCCTCCCCAGAAGCAGATGCCACTATGCTCCTGTATAGCCTACAGAATTATGAGCTAATTAAACCTCATTCTCGTAAATTACCCAGTCTCAGGTATTTTTTTTTTTTTTTTTTTTTTTTTTGAGACAGGGTCTCAGTCTGTTGCCCAGGCTGGAGTTCAGTGGCACAATCTGAGCTCACTGCAAACTCCACCTCCTGAGCTCAAGCAATTCTCCTGTCTCAGTCCCCCAAGTGCCTGAGACCACAGGTGTGTGCCACCACACCCGGCTAATTTTGTATTTTTAAAATAGAGATGGGGTTTCTCCATGTTGCCCAGGCTGGTCTCAAACTCCTGAGCTCAAGCAATCCTCCTGCCTCAGCCTCTCAAAGTGTTGGTATTACAGGCATGAGCCATCACACCTGGCCTTGGGTATCTCTTTACAGCAGTGTGAGAACAGATTAGTACAAAAAGCAATCTGCTAATAGAATAAACATGTAAAAATATTGTTACAATTTAAGAAAAACATAATAAGAACCTTTATTTCAATGAGAGTCTAATTTAAATTTATTTCCAAGATGGGAAACACAGTAAATGTTATAGGTCAATATTCCTCCCTGCATGAAACATTTTTTTCTTCTCAGAAAATGGCATCGCTTCAAATATGTCATTTGCAAAGAGAAACAGAAAATGCAAGCATGATTTATATTTCTAGTCCTGAAATTATCTACTTAAATAAATATTTAATGTACTAAATCATTAGCACAGAAAAACTGGTCACGTGTAATAAACTAGTACATCAACGTTTAAGGTAAATCTGCCCCCAAGTGAAACTAATCTTCTCCCTACTCCGCAATTTGTTCCTTCTCATCTCCTATCTCAGTTGGTAGCATCACCATTTATTCTATCATCCAAGCTAGCAATCTAGGAATAGGAAAGTTTTCAGAAGCTGTAAGTCAGTCCAGACATCAGAAGTTACTAAAACTACTTACATATAAAACCCCTATCAAACACCAATATAGAGGGAATAGTACAAATAACAAAACAAGCCTAAAGATTTACCTTGATATACTTTACTCTTTACCTAGAAAAGAGAAATAAAAATTAAATTTTATGTCAAACATTTCATTAATAGGTGTATATAGTTCCTAACACAACAGTTGGAATTGTAACCAAATGAGAATTTAATAACAGTTGCTTTAGCATAATAAATCCACAAGATTAAAAAATTAAAAGGTTAAAAGCATTTCCAAATTTAACCAGTAGTGATATGTTGCAGTCTGACAGATAAAGCACTAAGATAACATATCTTACTCTGCAGCTAAAGATATGTTTACCGTATCTAAATGAACACCAGTCTTATGAAATGAGCACTTAACTTGAATAATAGAAATGGCTAATATTTTTATAATAAATATATTAACATTTTATTTACTCAAAGTCACTTATTTGACAACTCCAAAGAGCCAGAATGAAATCTAAAAACACTGACTACTCAAAAAGGACTCTGAGGAAACAAATTAAAGGTATAATCTTCCTACTAAGATACACCTCTTTTGCTTTCCAGAAAATATCTCAGAAAATCCTATTCAAAGTTGACTACTGGCTGAATTTAGAAACAATTCTATTAACACTAAGGTAGATCATTTGACTTTCTATACCACTAAAAACAGTGCTCATGAACCTGACAGGGAAGGAAGATTGCTAGAGGAAAATGCACAAGCAACAAGAGAAATGACAACCATCACTTCTGAAAAGGCAAAACCCAAATCATCCCCCAAAGACAGCACTAAATTATGGGACAATAAAGCCAAGCAGTAACTAATTTTAAAAAAGAATATTACTAAATTTCTTTGCAACCCAGAACATATTTATCCCTTTCAAAGTTATAAGTGGTGATGTGATACTAACACCAGTTCACAAATCACCCATAATAATCTCACTAAATTAATATACGGTTTACATAATACACTGTATAATAATACTGTTATATATAGTAACTAATATACTGTATACATAATAGTTACAGTATCTAAATCTCACTTAAATACTATTATTAGAGGAATATGCATTCAGAAATTTCCAACATGGGAAGAAATTACTATCTCTCTAATGGCCTTGCTAATGAGAGTAAACTTCCTGTGCTCCATTTCACCCAAACTAACAGGCAAGCAGAGATCACGGTTCTAAAACTCAATCCTGTGGCTGAGGAACAGCAGTTAGGACAGAGAGTCTATATAACTTTCTGAAAACAAAAAAGGTGTTAGTTTTTTTTATTATTAAATAGGGAGAAACAAGAGTGGGAAACGTAAAATATTTCCACCTTTTTCCCCTTCCATTTACCCTTTGATTCTCCCTTTTTATTTGAGAAAAAGGCCCGTGAGGTTGGAGAAAGCCTCACAGGAAAAAAAGACCCTTCTTTATAAGTGCTTTTACAATAAACTCTGAAACCAGAGAAAAATTATTAACAATGATATATGTGATAATAATTATGAAATCAGAAAAAGAATACTTAGTTTTAGGAAGACTTGCATTCAATAATTTTGGCCATTTTAACTGTTAAATTTCAATCAAAAGCTTTTCGTATCTGCAAAGCTCATTTATACAAAAAAATCTTCTCCCAATTAAGTTAAAAAACATATTCTCCAAATATGTTAAGCTAAATGCAATACAGTATAATCATAAGTATGTACAAGTATGAGTATATACACGTAACACTACATATGTTTAAGTCTGAAAGATAAATTCTGCACAGAAGACTAAAGATTAAAAAAAAATAATGGTGTGTCTTTGCACATGATATAATCTGTATTTCCAAATAAAAAATATTATGAGTAAAATAGTACATAATCAAATCAGAAACACACATCTTTTAAAAACTGAAAACTTAATCTAGATAAAAGAATTTTTATCATTTTGCTGTATTTTCTTGCAGCATTTATTTTCTGTATGTATATTTACGATATATGGTTTATCTAAACCTTAAAGGCTTAGTTTCTACTTTTTTTCTACTTCATGTTAAATTGTGAGTATTTGTTGTGCTCCTGTTTTTGAATTATATAAAGCAGACTAATATCCCATTATATGAACAAAAAATAATTTAACAATTTTCCTACTGTGAATCACAGTAGGTTGTGCAAAGTTTTCACTCTAATAAATACTGTTCCATTGAATCCTCTTATGTAAGATACTTAAAACTTTTTTTTTGATACAGATTCTCACTCTGTTGTCCAGGCTGGAGTGCATGGCACAATCTGCCTCCCGGTTGAAGCAATTTCCTGTCTTCAGCCTTCCAGAGTAGCTGGGATTACAAGCTTCTGCCACCACACCCAGCTAACTTTTGTATTTTTAGTAGAGATGGGGTTTAATCTTGTTGCCCAGGCTGTTCTCAAACTCCTAGCCTCATGTGATCCACCCGCCTCGGCCTCCCAAAATGCTAGGATTACAGGTGTGAGCTACCAGCCCAGCCTATGCAAGATATTTAATGTATACTGGTTCTTTTCTTTTCTTTCTGAGATGGAGTCTCACTCTGTGGCGTAGGCTGGAGTGTAGTAGCACATTGGACCTCACTGCAGCCTCCGCCTCCCAGTTTCAAGTGATTCTCTGCCTCAGCCTCTCGAGTAGCTGGAATTATAGGCGTGCGCCATGACATTCGGCTAATTTTTTTATTTTTAGTAGAGATGAAGTTTCATCATGTTAGCCAGACTGGTCTCAAAATCATGGCCTCAGTGATCCGCCTGCCTTGGATTCCCAAAGTGCTGAGATTAGAGGTGCGAGTCACCGTGCCTGGCCAACTAGTAATTTCTTTTGGATAGATTACTAGACATGATATTAATACAACATAAAAGGAGATAACCATTTTTAAGACTTCTGACACACATCATGAAACTACTTTTCAGGACAGCTCTAAGAATTCCCAATTCTACTAACAGTGTACATATGACCTATCTAATTCTTGGTTTTTTTCCTTTTTGAGTTGATATAAAGATCCAATTAATTCTTATTATTTAAATTTTGATATAAGGGATATATAAATTGAAATTTTCCCGTTCGAGATTATACATGTTATCTTGTCTACTTAAGAATTTATCAACACAAGGGCCAAGCGCAGTGGCTCATCCTGTAATCCTAGCACCTTTGGGAGGTTGAGGCGGGTGGATCACAAGGTCAGGAGTTCAAGACCAGCTTGGCCAAAATGGTGAAACCCCGTCTCTACTAAAAAATACGAAAAAAAAATTAGCTGGGAATGGTGGTGGGCGCCAATAATCCCAGCTACTCAGGAGGCTGAGACAGAGAATTGCTTGAACCCGGGAGACGGAGGTTGCAGTGAGCCAAGAGCTGCCTGGGGGACTGAGCAAGACTCTGTCTCAAAAGATAATTTACCAAGACAAAAAATACACCAAATTGTTTTACAGGGTTAGCTTGAATTAAAAGCGTTAATTTCTGTTCATGTTAGTAACTAAAAAAGAAACAAAAGGGCTATGATTATAAAACCATAGTTGAATTTATGAGATATAGTATACATTCATTTACTCACAACAAGGATAGTTCTCCAGAAGAAAACAACAACTGAAGCAATTCCCAAGAAGGCAGTAATAAGTACAGGTTTCCATGGCAGTCCATAAAAATCAGGCCCAGGCTGAACATCATCAGGCAATGTAGAAACTAGCTGAAAAGGGCATGTTAGAAATAATGAGAAACCTTAAAGAAACTTAACATAAAGCAGTCGTAAAGACTCATCCATAGAAACTCTAAAACAACTGTCAGATACCTATCCCCTCAAAAATCTTCCATAGCTCTCACTGCTTCAAGAAAAATAGGACACTGGGAGTCTTACACTCATTATTTGGCTTGTAGTGTTTCGAAGTATTATGAGTCTAAATGTCTTTAGATTGAGCATGTATTTCTAGTTTGCAATAGGCCCTGATACAATATTTTATCTAAAGCACGGCTACAATCTCTCTGGATCATACTTTTCTCTTGAATAAGTTGGTTTTTGTTGCTTAAGAAAACATCGAAGACAAAAAACCTTAGGTATACAAGTGATCAACTTTTTATGGCTAAAAATAAAACCAATATTATGATAATGAATACCACAAAGAACGTGCTATTCCTCTAAGATTTACAATCTTAAATCAACTCTTACATAAACAAACAACAAATGCTGAGTAAATTATGATAGCTCCTGATAACTGATCTACATAAACTGCTTTGAATTTAGTGCCTTAATTATAAATGTTTCCTTGAAGAAAGTACATTAAACACCTGTCTGCTCTATGCTGTTTTCACGGTCCTCTACAAGCACACTATCATACTGGCCCCATCCCCCAACAGAGCCGGGGGTTATAGTGAAAAGACCTGTAGACTGTGTTTTGATCATGACTGTACACCAGAACGTAAAGTGCTGTCATTTCGTTAAGTATTCAATTAAAAAAAAAAAGTGACGAAACCTCAAACACACTTCCACCTGACTCCCTAAACAGTATAAAACGTCTTGCCTTCCTCGGATCTGACACTCCGTTTCTCTTTTGCAGAGACAATCAGTGCACCCACTCTGCTTAGAATTCGTCCACCCGCCTGCCAAAGGTGGGGTCCCTCCCTGGGAATGGGGACCGTCACCTCCAGCAGCTTGGCTATGAAGGCTGCGTAGAGCACCGACAGGGGTCCCAGAAGTTCCGGGTCCCCCGGGGTAGCGGGGAGAGAAGATACAGTGGCAGGTACTGAGTCCATTGTGTAGAACAGCTGAACGCAAGCGACACTTCCCTGCGGAACGGCACTGGGCACTCTGTGTTTCAGAGCTTCCTCCTTCGGAAAGGCCACAACTCAGGGGGCGGACACTGGGATTGAACTTCGCCTTCCGCAACCGCCGGCACTTTCGCTTTAGGCCGCCTATAAAACACGTCATCAGCCACCGCCCCCTGGCGCACGTCACCGCACCTAAGGAGCCGGTCCGTGGGGGCGGGGCTAGAATGGACGGAACCAACTGTGGAGGGAGCGGGGGTAAAAGAGCAAATAGAGCTGGAGCGGAAGAATCCAAGTAAAGAGAGGCGGGGGTGATTGGCGCTTCCGCCAGGAACCGGGAATTTAAAAGCCCGGAGCGAGGAGGCCAGGGAGCTACCCAGAGGAGGATTGTGGGCGGCAACTGGGTAAATGGAGAAAGGCAGGCTTCTCGTGCCAGCCACTATGCAGATGTGGTGCCATTGCTCTGCGTGGTCTTTCTGCCCTGCCCACTCAGTCCTCTGCTTACTGTTCCTTCTCCAGGCCTCCATTGCACACGCTCTCTTACATTCTTGCTGACACTATTAAAAAGCCTTACCCAGGAGTCATGTCATCGTGTCACCTCCCCCCACCATGCACATGGACAGTTATGGGTCCCACTTTTTATTTTGGACGGTGGCTGTGGGGAAGAGGAGGGAGTCTCCCTATGTTGCCCAGGCTGGACTCGAACTCTGGGCTCAAGCCATCTGAGAAGCTGGGACTACAAGTGGCCGGCCACATCTTAAGGTTATATGGCTTGTGGAAAAGGACAAGGATAATGAATAGTATGGAAATCACATTCCAAAAGTTGAAGAAACTGGGGGCATATGATATGTGGGGGAAACAGATGATATCTGTAGATAAAGAAACCATTCTTAGACCTTTAAAGGTCTATCTTTGGCCAGGCACAGTGGTTCACGCCTGTAATCCCAGCATTTTGGGAGGCGGACGCGGGCAGACCACGAGGTCAAGCGATGGAGACCATCCTGCCTAACATGGTGAAACCCCATCTCTACTAAAAATACAAAAATTAGCTTGGCATGGTGGCACATGCCTATAGTCCCAGCTACTCGGGAGGCTGAGGCAGGAGAATTGCTTGAACCCAAGAGGCGGAGGTTGCAGTGAGCTAAGATCGAGCCACTGCCCTCCAGCCTGGCAACAGAGGAAGACGCCGTCTCAAAACAGAAAAAAAGCCTAAAGTCAACTCAGAGGAACAATCAACCAAGAAGAAACAGGAAAACCCTGAGAAATGAGGGGTGCAGTATGAGAGGAGAGTGGGATCTATAATCACAGAATGGTACTGGCCCAAGAATGCAGACAGATCACAGGGCAGAATAAAAAATCCAGAAATAGACCCAGCTGCACTGGAAATTTGGGATACAGCAAGTCAGCTGGGGAAAAACAGAGTTTTTAATAAGTGGTATTACATATCTAGATAACAATATGGAAAATGATAAAATTGGATCTTTTTCTTATCATTCATAAATTCCAAGTGAATCAGAAACCTGAATGTAAAAAATGAAAACAAGTAGTAGAAAAAATTGTGTGAATGTCTCTATGAACAATGTGAGTGGGGAAGACTTTCCTAATTATGTATCAAAATCCAAAAGCAACAAAGGAAAAGATTTGTAAATTTGATCACAGAAAAACAAAAAAATTGCCCAACCCCAATTTACAAAAATTGCAAAATAAGCGGTCAGCAATGATAACCTAAGAAAAAATATTTGTAACACATTTTGAAGGATTAATATTCCTAAAATATAAAGTGCTTTATAAATAAGCAGATGGCGGCCAGCAAAACCTAGAGAAAAATGGGCTGAGGAAATGAGCAGATCCCACAAAAAGAAATGCAAATAATTAAAAAACATATAGAAACATGCTCTGCCTCACTCATAATAAAAGAAATACAAATTGAACCTTACAATGAAATATAATTTCTCACTAATCTTGGCAAGATCCAAACATTTGACAACACACTCTGTAGGTGAGAGAATGTGGAGGAAGCAGGCACTCTCATTCTCTGCTGATTTTTATATAAAATCATACAACCCCTATGATTTGGCAACGTCTCCCAAAATAACTTATTTACCTACTGACTCAACAATCCCACTTCTAAAGATCTATCTCAAAGATACTGGGGATCTAACAACAAATGCTGGAAAAAATATATGCACAAAACTATATTATTCAAGCATTACTTAGAACAAAAGACTGGAAACAACTAAAATGGTCATCAATGAAAGACATATTGAATACAATGAAGTATACTGTGAAGGTATAAAAGAAAATAATTTTATATACTGCTAGGGTGTGGTGTCAGAATACATTTTTTTAAAAGGTAAAGTAGAGGTCTATTTTCACGTTGAATAAGTCTACATTTATCTAACAAAGTAAGGATTTTTTTCTTTACAGCTTTGAAGGAAATACGACATTCAGTAAGTTACGTGTATTTAAAGTGCACAGTTTGATCATTTTGGCATATGAACACACCTGTGAAACCATCATCACAACCAACATAGTGAACCTCCCAAAAGTCTCCTTTATTCCCTTTGTAATCTCCTGCTCCTTTTCACCCTTCCCTGCCCCCAAGCAGAATTTCTGTTCTAGTAGATTAGTTTGCATTTCGTAAAGTTGGATATGTATGTAATAATGCATGATTATGTTATATTTTCTCTAGCTTCTCTCATTCAACATAATTTGAGATTCACCCACATTGCTACACGTATCTATAATGGTTCACTTGTTTTTATTGCTGAGTAGTATTTCATTGCGTGGGTGTACCACAATCTGTTTATCTGTCACCTGTGGATGGATACTTGTTTTTTTACTATTTATAAAAATTAGGCTTTTATAAATAAAACTGCCAAGACTATCACGGAGATGAATCTGCCGCAGCTAGAAGCCAAGGACTTCTTCAAGAGAGAGACAGACTTCCTAACCAAGCAGATGGAGAAAATTCAGCCAGCTCTCCAGGAGAAGCACACCATGAAACAGGCTGTCATGGAAATGATGAGCCAGAAGATTCAGCAGATCACAGCCCTGGGGGCAGCTCAGGCTACTGCTAAGGCCTGAGAGTTTGTTGCAGAAATGGAGCAGAGGGACATCCTTTGGGCGTGGCTTCCTGATACCAGCGAAGGGAAGGGTCTTATGTTTAATGCCAATAAATGTGCCAAAATAAACTGTGAAAAAAATTGATCTACAAGTCTTTCTATGCATGTATAATTTATTTTCACTCAGGTAAATGTCTCTTGGGTAAATGTTTAGGAGATGAATGGCTAGATCATACGACTAGTATAGGTTTACCTTCTTAAGAAGCTGACAAGCTGTTTTCCAAGATAGCTGTATCACTTCACACAGCTATCCCCACCAGTAGTGTATGATACTTCCCGTTCCTTCATATCTTCTCCAACACATGGTATAATGTATAATCAGTTTTTAAAATTTTAGCCATTATATTAAGTGTGTACTGGTAACTCACCATGGTTTAAATTGACGTTTCCCTGATATTATGCTGAACATGTTTTAGTGTGCTTACTTGCAATCAGTGTATCTTCCTTGGTAAAGTATTATTTCACTGGGTTACATTTTTAGATGAATTTTTAGAGTTGTTTATGTATTCTGAACACAAATCTTTTATCAGATATGTACTTTGCAGTAACTCTTTCCCAGTGTGTAATTTGTATAAGTGTATTTTGAAGAATATGTTTTTAAGTCCAAATTATCAAATTTCTGCTTTATGAATCATACTTTTGATGTCAACTGTAAGAAATCTTTGCCTAATCCAAGTTCAATAAAATTTTTCTCCTAATTTTTCCTAGAAGTTTTATGGTTTTAGGTTTTACATTTAAATAAAATGTAAAACAACATTTTACAACCTGCTTTGAGTTAATTTATGTACATGATGTGACGTATGGCTCAATTTTTTGCTTATAAATATCTAATAGTTTTGGTACCATTTGTTGAAAAGACTTTCTCCATTTAACTGTCTTTGCACCTTTGTCAGAAGTCTATTGCCATACATGTATAAACCTATTTCTGGATTTTCTATTTTGTTCCAATGGCCTAATCATCTGCTGTCCTAATTACTAGAGCTTTATAGTAAGTCTTGAAATTACATGATGCTTGGGCTATGCTATGTTCTCTGATTTGCAGAATTAGTTTGTCATTAAAAAAAAATCCTTCTGAGATTTTAATTGGGGTTATGTTGATGCAAGTGAGCCAACTGGGGAGCTTAACAATATAGTCTTCTGTCTCATAAACAAGGTATATCTCTCCATGTATTTAGGTCTTCTTTAATTTCTATTAGCAATATTGTACCATTTTCAATGCATATGTCTTACACACTTTTTGCCACATTTAACCATAAGTACTTCATATTTTTGATACTATTGTACATGGAATTTAACTTCAATTTCCAATTGTTCATTGCTAGTATATATAAATACAATTGCTTTTAGATGTAAATTTTTATCTAGCAACCTTACTAAACTTAGTACATCTAGATTTGTTTCTACATCCCACCAGATTTTATGCATGTTGGCTGCAAAAAAAAGACAATTTTACTTCTTTCCCAATCTGGATGAATTTTACTTCTTTTTCTTGCCTTAGTGCACTGGCTGCTGCCTTACGATGTTGAACAGATGTAATGAGAGTAGATACTCGTTTCACTTCTGGATATTGGGGGAAAACAATCAATCATTAACTACAAAGTATGATGTTCATTTTCAGTTTTTCATTAAAGTGAATTGAACTGAACATATGGATTGTCTTTTTAAAGTTTGTCATTACGGTTAATTTTACACTGATTTTCAAATGTTAAACAAACTTTGTATTCTTGTTATAAACCCTATTTGATCATAGAGTATTTTCTTTTTATATGTTGTTGGATTTGACTTGCTAAAGTTTAGAATTTTTTTACCAATGTTTACGAGAGATTCTGGTCTGTGGTTTTCCTTCTTATTTGTCTTGTCTATGCCTTGTTTGGATATCCTGGTAATATTAGCTTCATAAATGATCTGGGAAGTTATTTTCTGCCCTTCAGTTTAATAGAAGAGTTTGTGTAGAATTCGTGTTATTTCTTCCTCATAAGTTTAATACAATTCGGCAGTGAAGCCATCTGGGC